CCCGGCCCCCCGGTCCAAGACAGTCCAGTGGCACCTTTAAGACCAAGTTTTGTTCAGGTACAAGCTCTCCCTCCTCTGCAAGGACAGATCTGCACGTTTCCCCCCCTCCCTCCATAGCTAGCAATCCAAAACAGTCCAGTGGAGCCTGAGTGGTGGGTGTTGCCTTCTGACACACTTCCGGTGATGTCAGGGGGTGTGGCACATGCAAATAAGTTATGCTAATGAGTTATGCTAATGAGCTCCTGAATCCTCTTTTTCTACGAAATGACCCCTGCCTTTAGGGATTTCTTGTTGGGAAGACAAATACTCTAGGATAGGTAGCCAGATAGAGGAGAAGGTAGAGTGTGATGAAGGTTTATTGTATGCCAGACTGTCCGTGAGTTTGGCCATAATATTTCGGGGGATCAAAACCTCCTGGATGTTCCAGGCCCCAAGTCCATCAAATTTGTGATGACCAGGGCTAGGGCATTTTCGGTGGCGGCTCCTATCTGGTGGAATGAGCTACCAGGGGAGATCCGGGCCCTGCGGGACCTTGTACAGTTCCACAGGGCCTGTAAGACGGAGCTCTTCCGCCAGGCTTTCGAATAGGAGTCGCCGCCACCACTGTTCCATCAACGCCCTATACTCTCCGCACACTGCCACCGCTAGTGCGGGTACCATCGGAGGGAGCGGGACATGCTTAGGGGACAACACGGCGGGGGGTGGGTGGGTGCACTGCTGTTGCTGTATAGCTATACGACTGAGAATACCATCTTGATTGTAAAATTTGGAATTGAGTAGGGGAGCACCGAACTGTTTTATGAATTTAGTTAATTATTTAACTGTTTTTGTATTTTTGTGTATTTTATACTGGTTTTATTGTTATTATTTGGCGTATGCCCCTGTTAGCCGCCCTGAGCCTCCGGGGAGGGTGGGATATAAGTTTAAATAAACAAACAAATAAACAAATAAATAAATAATATATAGTGCTTTGTTCTCATGGCCCTTCCTTACACACCCAGGGAAATGGCAATCGCCCCTTTGGGGTCAGGAAGCCATTTTCTCCAGGCCAGTTTGGCCAGAGATCCTGGAAGTCGTTATCTTCTAGGCGTGGAACAACCGTCACTGGGGGTGTGGTGGTGGGGAGGTATTTGTGAATCCCCTGTATTGTGCAGGGGGTTGGACTAGATGGCCCTGGGGGGTCCCTTCCAACTTTATGATTCTGTGACGATCTCACGCCTCCCAGGGACTCTCAGCTCTTCAGCAGAACAAAATTCAAGTCTAGCTTCACCTCAAAGTCCAACAAAATAACTGTTGTGAGTCAAAGCTCACTCTGTCACATCGGGAATCTGGCAAACTTTTCTTCATATGGAGGAGCAAGCAGTCATGCCCGACCCACAGACGGAAGTATTTATTCACTTAACTTATATCCCTCTTTTCTCCCCAGTGGAGACCCAAAGCGGCTTACGTGATTCTCCGTTCTGTCCTCACAACAACCCTGTGAGGTGGGACAGACGGAGACCGAATGATCCGAGGTCACCCAGCAAGCTTTCGTGACAGAACGGGGATTTGGGCGTGGAACGGCGGTCACCGCGGGGGTGTGGGAAGGGAGGGATTTGTGAATTCCCTGCATTGTGCAGGGGGTTGGACTAGATGACCCCGGAGGTCCCTCCCAGCTCTACGTTTCTAGGAATTCAAAACACAGCATGGCACAGAAACCTAAGTGCATAGTGCTCCTCTGGGGTCTGGTACAGATGTGGCCAAGGTTAACCAGCTGGGCAGTGGGCAGTCATCGCCGACGAGTACTGGGTGAAGCGAGGGAGGCCAACATAAAGGGACAGCCATCCCCTCAACCAAAGGCCCGGCGGAACATCTCCATTTTACAGGCCCCGAACCGTCATCAGCGGCTCTGAGAGGGAAGGTGGAGAACTGCCGAATCACTTCTTGCTTACATATGACACGGCGAAACACTGCTAAGAAGCCTGTACGGTTCAACACGAAGCCGAAAAGTGTGTTATTTATATCCCTGAAGGGAAATGAAGGCAGCCAGCTGGAACCCTGGGGGCTAAACGTTAAAAACAACAAAACATCAGCTCACCTCCGAAGCGCAAGGAGGGGAGCGGCGTGTTTGCGACAAGCAGCCCGGTCAAGAGGGCATTTTGGCAGGGTCAACAAGCCGGCACTGTCTTGGGAATAGGTAGGGTTGCCAACCTACAGGTGGTTGCTGGAGGTCTCCTGGGACTTCAACTGATCATCAGGCGACGGAGATCGGTCCCCCCGGAGAAAACGGCTGTGTGACGACCCCTTATATGGGGAGGACTGGTTTCACTTTAAAAGTGTTCTTTATTTTTTGTTCAACTGGGTATATCAGGCTGCCACCAGGAAATTTAAGGCTTTCCAAACCTTTATACTTTTACTTTTGTTATCACTGGGTAGGTAGGTCGAGTTTAAGGCTCATGAGGAACTATGTGGTCCTAAGGAAGTATTTCTTTCAGAGCTGGTACATTTGAATAAAAGAGGATTTATTGAAATAATTCATAAATAAAAGGGTGGAACAAGGTATCTAGTAATGTGTAATAAATGAACTATTGCTTGGTGTATCACACACAATATACTCCCTTACTGACAGGGATCTTTCAGGTAACTTTGTAACACTTTAACTCAAGGTCATATAATTTCACTCTTTCTCTCCAGTTTATCAGGACATACAGCCTTTCTTCTAACTTGTCTTCAATTAAACGTTCATTTACTTTTCCCTATTCTCTCAGAATAATCTCAGCTGCTCTTAACTGCTTCAACACAGAACTGCTTGTCACTTCTACCTATCATCCATCAATCATCTATCTATCATCTATCTATCTGAAGAAGCGAGCACTGACTCACAAAAGCTCTATCTATCTATCTATCTATCTATCTATCTATCTATCATCTATCTATCTACCTATCTATCTACCTATCATCCATCAATCATCTATCTATCATCTATCTATCTGAAGAAGCGAGCACTGACTCACAAAAGCTCTATCTATCTATCTATCTATCTATCTACCTACCTACCTACCTACCTACCTATCTATCTATCTACCTATCATCCATCAATCATCTATC